ACACACGCAACTCTCACAAACCTCTGTGTCTTTGCTTGTACCTTTCCTTCTACTTGTATATCTTGCCCCTCTTCCCCTGAGGTAAGATTCATCCTTTCAGGCTCAACCTCAGGTACGGCCTTCTCTAGCAACCTTTTCTGAATTCCCGGCTGGGCAAAATACCCTATTATCTCTATTTCACCTTGTGGCTGCCCTGAGACAGAGAGGGAAGGGGCTTTATCTACACGCTTCCGGATCAGGAACAATCCCAAAGCCCAGACCTGCTTGGCATCTCACAACCATGCTGCCACCCAGCCAGCTCTTTGCATTGGGTCATGGGGCTGCACTCACCTGGCACACCCTGCACACCTCTCCCCGGTCCCAGCCACAGTCTGCCCCGCAGTGACCGACAAAGGGGGGGTAGCCACTCAGCATGATGTAGAGGACCACGCCCAGGCTCCACAGGTCACAGCGCTTGTCATAAAAAGTGGCCTCCTCTGTGAAGACCTCTACCACCTCGGGGGCCATGTATTCTGCAGAGCCACACTGTGGGGGCCAGGGTTGGGGGGAAGAAGTGGCAGAGAAGAGAGAGGCTTAGTCATAAGGAGAGAGGATGGCAAAGAGAAGAATGAAATGGCACTTAAGCAAGAGGACAGAGTTACAGAGCAAGACGCTGTCAGGAAGGGCCAGCGAGAGAGCCCGCCTGATGCCACCAAGGAGCTTAGAAAAGCTGGGCCAACTGAGCATTTAGTAACTGAGTCCTATCATTCCCCATGATCCTTGTGACCACCTTCTTATCTTTTCAGGTTCTTCTCCAGGAAGCAGAGACCCTTGGTCCAGAGGTTCCAGGAATCTTTCCCCGCCTCAGTGCTCTATAAACAGTCATTTAATGTACAGGTATTTAATGTGTCAGAAGCACGGCTCTGGGAGGGAGATCTGTGGAGATCAATTCCATAAAGCAAGGATTTCTTAAAGTGAAGTCCTGCCAAGCTTCCCTGCTAGCTTAGAGCAAAAAAAGCATAAGGATTTAGAATTAAGAGACCATCAAAGCTAGGAGAGCTCTTAGAACAAATCCACTCTCCCTGCTCCTCCCATTTATAGATGGGAAAAAACAAGGACTAGAATGGGACAGGGATTTGTTTAAGCACAGCAGTGGCAAACCTGGGATCCAGGATTCCTTCCTCCCATCCTTGCATAGAAAACTGCTGATCAAAACAAAGCAAATTCTTTTTGCTCCCCTCTTCATCATTTCAGGTTTAGCAAGAGATGCCCCCCACCTCCAACACACACAACTAATTTGATGGAAAGATCGTAAGTAGAGAAAGGACATTTTCTCTGTTATTGGCAATTAGAGTTAATGACCATGAGAACAAGGTAGCTCAGTGTCGTAAAAGCTAATACACAAACATTTCTAATAATGTTACTTAGAATAAGACATGAGCATATTCCAATACATGTCTTAAAAAAAGGTTATTAGGAAGATTCACTTATAAAACATGTAAATCTCAAAAGAATCGTAATAATTATAGTATACTGAGTATGTACAGAGATGTCTTAGGAAGAAGTAGCTCCCAGCAGCACCATCTGGGCATGGAGTGTTAAGTGAGGGAAGCAACAGGACAACTGGGCCAAGCGAGCCTTTGTGCAGAGAGCCCGGGACCTCTCAGCTCTCACCACAGACGGACCACACTCTCCATCCTCCATCACAAGGTGATGTGCCACATCTTTGGCAGTGGAATGGGTCTCTCAGAGCTAACACATGCTCATATAGCAAAGGCTGGCCCAGAAGTAGTGGTCTGTTTTCACTTGGGTTAGGAGTCAGGGCTCAGCCTGTTCTTGTAGATACAATTTGTCTCGTCACTGGCAGAGGGCCCACCCCAGGCTAAAAGCTCTAATGTCAGTTTCATTAGCAACTAAGCACTGGGGCAGGGAGGGTGTTATCAGTACAGAGCAGTGAGCCAAATGACAACTCAGGCAGCAGGAAGGTATAGATACACTCGCTTTTCCTTCCTTAGCCCTCTGTTCCAGACTCCAGAGCTTTGGGTCAGGGGCCACTTCCAATGTATAGAAGCCCAGAAGGAGGTGGCACATACTGGAGTGGTCAGCTCTGGTGTGGTTATGGGGGTGCAGGAGTTATTCAATTTCACTCCACTTCCCAAGTCAAAGTCACAGATTTTCACTGGGGACACCTGAAAAGGAAAGCAGAAAGCAACGGTTACAAATAAAAGAAACCAGAGGGCATGCATGAGGAGACCGATGGGACTATGTGGGTACATAGTTGTGTGGCTGCCACACTGAAGCCCAACTGTACCTGTCAGGTCATGTTTACTCTCTTCAGGTTAGTTAGGAATCACCTGAGGATTTATCCTAAGATGTTCTCTTCCCTTATTTCTCGACTAAGAGAAAATGTGTGCACTACATGGTGTCAGACTGTTGTGAACTTAGTATAAAACAAGTAGCAAATCTATGGAACTCTTGTCGACAAATGAAGGTGCAACACAGAACCTAGAGAAGTTTGTATGTATTCCTGGAAAACTCTTTGCAGCCCATTCATGGAGGACAAAGGAATTTTGAGTAAAACCCTTGACTATCTCAGGTGGCTGAGTAACCAGCTTGTCTTTGCTTGCTTGGGACTTTGTTGGTTTAAGCATGGAAAGTCCTGCGTTCCTGAGGAAACCCCTCAGGCCCAAGCAAACTGGGATGGCTGGTCACTGCAGGAAGTGACATAGCAGCCAAGCCCACCAGAACTGAATGCTACACCTGAGCTCACTGATAGCATGAGTCATCTCCGGAGCCAACCAGGAGGGCAGTTTGTGTATACAGGTGAGAACAGCCTGTGTGGCAGAAGGAGCACAGTGAGTCAAAAATGCTGGGTCTGTGAGTTCCAGCTCAGACATTTACCGGTCGGGTAAGCCTGGACAAGTTTCTCACCTTCTCTTTCCTTCCTTCTTACCTTCCTCCCTCCCTCTATCCTTACCTCCTTTTTCTTTCTCTTGCATTCTCCTTTCTTTTTTACTTAGCCTCTTTTTTTTTTTTTATTGTGGTAAAATATATATAACATGAAATCTGTCATTTTAACTATTTTTAAGTGTACATTTTAGTGGCCTTAATCACACTCACACTGTTGTACACCATTACCGATATATGTTTCCAAAACCTTTTCCATCATCTCAAACAGAAATGTTGTACCCGTTAAGCAATAACTCCCCATTCCTGCCTCTTCCCGGCCCCAGTAGCATCTAATTTACTTTCCATCTCTGTGAATTTGCCTATTCCAGATATTTCATATAAGTGGAATCACACAATATTTGTCCTTTTATGTCTGGCTTACTTCATTTATAAAGTTTTCAAGGTTCATCCACATTGTAGCATATATCAGAAAATCATTCTGTTTTGCAGCTGAGCAATATTCCATTATATGTATATACCCATATTTTGTTGATCCATTCATCTTTTGGACACTTGGCTTGTTTCTAGCTTTTGGCTATTGTGAAAATGCTCAAATGAACACTGTGTTCAAGTCTCTGTTTTCAATTCTTTTGGGTATATACATAGGTGTGGAATTGCTGAGTGGTATCATAATTCTGCTTAGCTTTTTGAGGAACTACCAAACTGTTTTCCACAGAGGCTGCACCATTTTACATTCCCACCAGCAATATACAAGGGTTCCAAATTTCTCCACATCCTCATCAACATTTGTTATTTTCCTTATTATTATTATTTTTTTATTATAACCATCCTAGTAGGTGTGAGGTTGTAGCTCATTGTGATTTTGATTTTGATTTCCCTAATGACTAAAGATGTTGAGCATCTTTTCATGTGCTTATTGGCCATTTGCATATCTTCTTTGGAGAAATGTCTGTTCAAGTCCTTTGCCCATTTTTAAATTGGATTGTCTTTTTGATGTTGAGTTTTAGAAGTTCTTTATATATTTTAGATATTAAACTCTTATCAGATATATGACTTGCAAATTTTTTTCTCCCATTCTGTGAGTTGTCTTTTTTATTTTCTTGATAATGTCTTCTGATACTCAATCTCTCTTAATTTTAGTTTTTCAACCATAAAAAAGGGGCAACAGATCTGAGCCCTGAAGATCAAATGAAACCAAAAACATGAAAGTACACTATAAACCAGAGGCAATGTAACAGAGTAGCTCAGAGAACCCGGGGAGTTCTGGGGTCAGACTACCTTAGTTTTAACCTATACTACTTATCAGCAGAGTGACTTTGGGCAAGTTTCTTAATCTGTCTAAGCTTCAGTTTCCTCATTAATAAAATGAAGTTAATAATAGTATCTACCTCATTAGATTTTATAAATACTAAATAAGTATTAGTGCTGGCACAATGTAAGCACTCAAGAAATGTCAACTATAATTATTATTAATAACCATAATGATAATAATGACAAATTATAAAGTTTATGGCCAGAGCTACTGGCAGGAAGTCATAAGATCTTATTTGAGCTAATATGTTACTATTCCCCACAAGTGTTGTAAGTAGTAGGCTGACTCACATATTCACTCATAGTCATTCTTTATTTATGGGCTATCCCTTAATTCAGACCAAGGCACATGTGTTCATGCATATGCACACGTATACACACACAGAACTATGAATGTGGGCCATCGAAATCACCAGGACCTAAATCCCTCCTAATAAACACAGAATTTGTCAAATTCATACATGCCTATGGAAATACAAACACTAACATTTACTAGTAGATTGAGTTAAAAGAAAGTTTACAATAGGCGGCATTTGTTCGATATCAAGTATTTCTTTTTAATGGGCAATAAAAATGGAAATAAAAACCCTTTTCAAGAACTTGCTTCCTAATTACATATCTAGTGGTAGACACCAGCTGGCCTATATACCATGACATAAACATTTATAGGCAGAGATTTGCTTCATATAAGATTGAATTGTTGTTTATGACTCCCATCCACTGCTCTAAAGGTAGGTGCACTGGACTAGAAAACATACATTTTGTGCGGGTCTCATATATATTTTACAAACTCTCAGGCTTAAACCAATTACACTGCTGAGAACAGCAAAGAAGGGACAAGGATTAACCCTACTTGGAATGTAGAAACACCACATATTAAGTATAACATTCTCACATGTCCATAATAACCAGTTCAAGTTGGTACCTGAGGCTGAGAGGACAGCTAACAATCTGTAATTGAAAGCAAGGGTGGCTTTCCTGCATCATTGTAAAAACTGTAACATCTTAAGTGGGGCTCTAAGTACCTTTTCTGGAGATTCACACAATATATTTTCTGGCTTCAGATCGCGGTGAGCAATGCCTGAAACGACAAAGAGCAAAGAAATGGTTAACATATGAACATAATTATCAAACATTCCACACACAATTAACTTTTTCCAAATGCTGTTGTTCGCAGATTAATTCTCAATTATGGTACATTAAAAAGTCAACGAGCTGCAGGAGGCAGAAGTAACCAGAGACACAAACCAAGAGCGCAGTTGATTCTGCAAGTTCTTTTGAAGCAGAAGCTTTAGAATCGGGCAGGGATAAGAAGGGCTAAATGAATCCCAGCCAGCCTACCTCTCAGCACCGCAGGGACACTAAGAATAAGAAGCCTAATGTGAAGCAGAGAGCAAAGAGCTCTGCAATGGCCATGCTTGGAACAGCAATGCAGAAATAATGAGTGTCTTGTTTAAGAGCATCTCAGGGGGCTGAGACTGCTCTACCTCATTTCTTCTTCTGTGGCCGATTTAAAAAAAATGATTCCTTCAGTGGGACTCCCTGAATGTTCAGAGGATCAAGTGTTAGTGAACAAATCTCCCAAGCCTGTCTGATTCCCTTCTCTCCTGCTCTGCATGTCCAAGACAGTCCAGCCAGAAGCACAGCAAAGACTGCTTTGGTCTGAGGGTGCTGTTAAGAGAAGCTCCCCTGCATTTTGGGCAGCCCTCCCAAAGGAAACTGCAGATAGTAGCTCATTTCGTGAGGGGTTAAAAGCTGCTGACGGGGCCAAGAAGGCACCTGAGGAAAAACCACCTTCTAACTGAAGACAGAGATAAAGAACCAACTCATAGGGTCATGGAGTTCTAGTGGCGGACACAGTAACATCCCATTCCTCTTTCCTCCTGCAGAATGTACGGTGCGGAGAGAGAAGGGCTGCAAGGCCGAGCAAAACCCAGACCGCTACTGCTCGGAAGTACTGGAAAGCAGCAGAGGATTCCTGAGGCAACGGGGAAAAGCAGAATCTGCTTCACTAAAACTCCCCAATGATCAACTTTTCTCAGGTAGCCCTCCAAGTAGGAGGCGGAGGCTCAGGCCACCAAGGCCCTTCAGTAGAAAGGAAAAACCTGAGCTCCAGCAGGCTCAGTGACTTCATCATTCACCTAATTGAATGAGAGAACCCAGAGCAACTCAGTCCAGGCTGCACAAATTGAGTCGGGCTACAGCTTGCCGCACTAAAAGTGAAAGATATTTTCCATTACAGCAAGTGCTCCCACAGAAGGATCACGAGCCACACATGGAGCCTTGCTCTCCAAATAGGTGCCGATAGCCCAGTTGTCCCCCAGCCTGAGAGCTGAGAGCCATGTGTAATAATGGGCCTGCCTCCATGAGCACACCAGCCATCGAGCTGCTCTGGTTCATTTCCCAGAGGTTAAGCTGCAGTGTGTCCAGTATTTAAAGGTACGGAACTTGTTTCCGGGCTGACCCATTCTTGCCCAATTCATCTTCTCAGTATGAAGTTATTTAGAAAACAGCCAAGTTCAGCTGGAAATCGTTTTTCATCTCCTCCAACTTCTAGGCACATGGGCAGCTGGCCAGCTAGATGTTAACAAGCTCTTTAGAACTCCTAAGACACCACCAGCCACTGTTCCCTTTAGTGCACTCTCGTAAAAAAATAAATAAATAAATAAAAAACAAAACTGCCTTTACCCCCCTCTAAGGTATGGATCTTGTAAAAAGCATGACCCAGTTTTGCAATCTACAGAGGCAGCTTGGGCAGCAGTTGTAAATCTTTGTCAGGCAGGTGTTACCTACATGCATCCTAGCTTTCAGAAACGGAACTCCTGCTATTCATCATGCTGTGGAAAGTATAGACACCCCCTTCTAGGAATTTTCATCCCATGTGCAAGTCAAGCCCCCAACATGGGCACTGGCAGTTTGCAGATCTCTCTCCAGCCACTGGAGGAAACGAAGTGGAATCAGTGAACATGAACCTCCCACACATAGGCCACACCAGTCTGCATTACACTGCTGGCACACGGTAGGGGGTGTGAACGGCGTGCCTACAAGTGGTCCCGAGCATTCACAACCAAGGTGGCTGGCCACTATCCACAAAAGTGAATGAAGCAGAGCTAAGTCGCAAATTATTCACTCCACCCTCACTCCCCTACCAGGCAGAATGCTTTACTTTAAGGGAATTAATATTAGGAATAAAGATGCTTACTGCCTGGTAGAGGATAAGGGCAGAGGAAATAACAATATTGAAGAACTATGTACTATGTGCCAGGCACTATGCCTCAACTCTCTTATAAGTATACCATACACACACAGGACATGCAGAATTACGTAAGCTAGTTAGTACAAACGAAAGGCTTAGGACAGTGCCTAGCACATCATAAGTTATATAAGAATTAACTACTGTTGATAATATAGTTCTCTTTCAGTTCTCACCATAAGTCTGTGGGGTAGGCATTATTACTGAGCAGGAGCACATAGCTGGCAGAATGTTAAAGCCAGAATTTATTTTTGCCATGGCCCTGCTGTTTGGCAAATTTAAAAAAAATGTATGTAATAGTTAAACATATTTATGGAAATGCAAAACTACCTAATTTGCAAGATTTAATTTACCACAAAAGTTCTTAAATAATCAGTCCTAGATAAGGACTGTAAACCAAAGTGTAATTCAATAGCAACCTGCCATTTACCATTGTGATGTTCAGTGGATACCCTGAACTTCCTATGTTAACAGAAAGATGCATTTTTCACTTCTTGTGAAGAAGATATCAAACTATATATATGCTATTATGCCAATCTTGAAAAGAGAGATATAGGTGATGTATTTTAAAAGACTAGAAGGAATAACGCCCAAATATTTATACTAGAATGGTTGTATTATGCATGTTTTGCATTCATTAGGATAGGAAAAGAAAATCATCCATATCCACACACCTACACATATACGTTGTTCAATATGAAATTTATTGTTTTTCCTCCCTGCTCTTTCTTTTGTATCCTCATTCTTCTTAATAGCTCCACATCCAACCATTATCCACTTCAGAAGCCTCGGAGCCACTTCAGCTTGACCTCACACCCTCATGGGTGGGCCTGCCAGCTGCACCAGCTCCTGGCCCAGCCCTCTGCCTGGTCTGCCCCTCTCCCTTAGTCCCCAGGGGCTGGCCAGCCCAGCCCACTCACCAAGGCAAAGGCTTGGCTCACCTTTGGTGTGCAGGAAGTCAAGGGCAAAAGCAACATCCCGTACCACTCGGCTGGCTTCTCGCTCATTGAAGTGCTTCTGCTTCTGGATGTGGGTCAGGATAGAACCTAGGGAGAAGAGGGGACACAGAGGAATGCCTTTTCAGGCTCTACGAAGTATAACTTCTCAGAGGCCTCAAGTTTCTACAGGTTTGGGGGTGGGGACATAGGCTTATTCATCACTAAATGTCCAGCGCTAAGCGTGGCTCCTGGTATGCAGGAGGTACCGGCACAAAACTGGAATGAAAAGAACTGAACTGCTATCTTTTATACTTGTTTATGATGAGTACAGAGGAGAGTGAGGACAACTATTTAAATAACCAAAAAATATGAATGCCATTAGGGCAGATTTGGCTTCTGAAATCAAAAAGAACTAAAAGTGAATCAACATAGGGTTGCGGGCCTCTCTATAGGAACTTTTCCTCCTCTGCATCTGATCTCAGATCTAAACAAGAGCACAAACTTTCAAACAGAAATACCACACCCTCACTGGATATATAAGGGTCTAGAAAAAGAGAAAAAAAACTGTCTGTTTTCCTCTCTGAATTTTCTTTATTATTTTGTTGGCAACTCGTTTTAGAAGTCTCCAGGATTAATGATGGATGATCATCACCTGGGCTTTAATCAGAAGTCCAAACACATACTCATCAGTGAGTACCTCCTTGGAATTTCTCAAAGACCAAGTAAATTTTGTTGGCTAACATTTACTGAGTAGTTACTATGTGCCAAGTATTACTGTGTAATAACTCTTTACATAGATTACCTTAGACTCACCACAAAATAGTTATCCCCATTTTATAGAAGGGAAACCTGAAGCCAAAAATGGTTAAGCACCTTGCTCAAGGTCACACACCAGTAAGTGGTGGCATCAGGACGTAAGCCAAATAAGTCTGGCCTCAGAACCTGTGCAGATATCCCCTCGGCAGGACTTGTGGCCCGAACACTGTGGTGAAGGGTTTGCCCTGAGCCAATCACACTCTCTTTACCCTGAGTCTGGCCCACTCTGAGCGATATGGTTACAGGTGACCCCAGCTGCACCTAGCATTTCAAACATGTAATTCACAGCCCTAATGTTGTTGGCACGGCATGAACACATGGCTTGGCTTCATGTGGTCTATGCTCACTACTGGAAGCCAGTATTTCTGGACTGAAGGTGTCATCCCTGTGTCGTAAAAATGGCACCTGTTTAATTATTATCTCTGGCTTTTGGCAGGGAGAGGGGCTGAAAGATCTTTCACTTGCCAGATTAAACAGTCAAGGGATCTAAACACAGTAGCGATCATTCCCAGAAAATTGGCTCCTGGCTAGATCTCAGGCTTGCTCTACTGTAGTGAGCCCTTATTTTCAAATTTTTTAAAAGGGAAGGTGGAAAGTAACATTCTACATACTTCTAAGATAGCCCCCAGCATACCCAATTGTTTTAATAATACTAACAGCTGACATTTATTGAATCCTTAGTGCCTATTGGGCACTGTGCTAATAAGCACTTCATACGAATTATCTCATTTAACTTTCACAGGATCCTAAGGAGGTAGGTGCTGTCATTATCCCTATTTTACAGATGAGAGAATACTGTCTGGAAATGTTAAGTGATTTGCCCAAAGTCACATGACTAGTAAGTGATAGAGCTAGAGTTAAACTTAGCTTTGTTGGTTTTCAAAGCACGCTCTCTTAACCACCAAAGCCCCTCCACTTAGCTTCAGACATCTTCCCTTTCACTGCAAACGTGTCCTAGGTTTGGATGAGTGACGGAGAGGAGAAAGCCTTCTCTATTCCCTTCTCTTTGTCAGAAAAGCAACCTCAATATACACCTTGGTGACTATGTGTGCGGGTGATGGTCAAGAATGGCATCTTTCCATCGGAAGGATGGTACACTCTCAGGTTTCCTGTCTGTCCTGGGTCTGTGTCCTAAACAATGGGACCCTCCTCTCCTCCATGAGCTTTTCTGGACTTCACAATGTATGCAAGAACTTCCGCTCCACAATTAATTTAGTTAAATAGTGAATGTGTCAAAACAATGGATTGATAAATTGACGACTACATATATCTATATATGAGTCCTATTATAATGAGAAGGCTTTTATAGAATGCCCATACAGGTGACATTCTAAGCTCTGCAAAATGCTAATTATCATCCTTCCCTCCGGCCTCCCTTCTCCCAAATCAAGGGCAGTTTTAAGTCCTTCATCCTTTTTATTAGCTTGACTCGTTTTAGAAGTCTCTAGGATTCATGATGGATGATCACCACTCTGGGTGTTAATCAGAAATCCAAACACATACTCAGCAGTAAGTACCTCCTTGTAATTTCTCAAAGACCAAGTAAAACCTTGCGTCATCTTCAAAGAACTCAATCAGCTCCAAAATGTTCCTTAAAAAGGGAAAAATAGGAGGAAAGGGAAAAAGGTATTATATATTAAAGCCCACTTACAAATATACAATGAAAAAAATATACAATGCCCGGTAGCAGGGCAGAAATCAACTTGAAATCAGAATGCTTATTAAAGACCCAGGTTTGAGAAGTAGCCAATGGTGTTAGCGAGATTCGGGTCACCTTATCTTTCCATAATGTTTAGTCTCTGGTGTTTTCACCAAGTCTGTGCTGTCAAACCCCAACCCTAAAACCCACTAGGTAGAGTTATAAAAAAGTCCCGGTCACATTAAACTGAATAAAATCTGCAGCCGACTGGAAGCAATTGCGGCTAATAACACTGAATAGTAGGTGTGTGTCCTGGAGGCAAGCAGCAAATAATTACTTGCCCTCCCTCTTGCCCATAAATCACGGGGCAGTATTTACATTGCCTGGAGAAAATGGAAACATCTGTCAAATAGACTTGGGGCCTAACGTGGGCACCGCTAGACCCTAACTGCTAAGCGCTGCTTAATGAAACGGCCGCGTTCCTGGCCACCGTAGCACTTGTGGCCTTCCCCGGTGAGCACTCTCTGTCTGCCTGAGCATTACTGTGCTCTGCCAACAAGGTCGTCTTGTAACTCAGTAGGGAAGCCACCAGACTGGATATCGAAGGTGTTGGGGGCTTTTTTTCTTTTAAAGAACGAAATAAACCAAGTAGCGTCTCTAATGCTGAACTCAGAAGCTGCAGGGCTGAAAATAAAAATCTGTCCCTCATAAAAAAATGCTGACCACTTTGGGAGACACCAGGCTTTTACTGTGTGATGGCGTCCAAATAAGATGACCAAAATGGCCTAATTTGAAAGAAGATTGTAGAGGCAGTGCCTGGAGTTAAATCAACAGCCGCCCCCATCCTCCAGGGTTAATGACAAAGCCATCAATACCAGGCCACTGGCTCCCTGCTGACCCTGCCATGG